GAGCTTTAAATCTCAAAGATGTAAGGGGCACTCTCAAAGCGCCTGTCACCCTGAGACGTAAGTTCACAAGTCCCATATGCCTGTAATTTTACAATTTGTTGTAAAGGATACAAAGAATTGGAAGAAACTACTCGTAGATAAAATTACCATGTTACATATAATAATGTTGCAAAAATACTCCACGAAGTCTGAGAAGATAGTGGAGTACATCGGACTAAAAGCCAAATACACCCTGAGAGTCGAGCCGTTGGAATCCGCCTTAACGTGAACTTAAATTTGTTTGTGGTGAGTAGAGTCGACCGATCATCTGTCGACTTTCATGAAGAAGGAGATTTGACCGAAGGGTGTCGCATATCAGCATCTCAGTTTACCTGACATCAGATTGCGTCACATGTCGCCCACAAGTGCAATTCGTGTAGATTAGTCATTTATTTTGCATATTATATTTAACAAGTATGTATGTTAGTTCTTAAGATATAGTACCTGGATCATAGTTACTTGATTTAAATGATTAAGGATATGAATGCATAGATACACACAAAACAGATAGCAACAACATGCTTTACTCGGCTACGTGGTCTGGTAAAATAACCTTACATGTATTAATTTTTGTTTTCATAAAACCTTCCAGATTTATGCCTGATGGTATTTACTTGAACGCCGTAGAGTTAGGACCGGCGAAACTAGCGAAGAAAATGTTTGAAATCATTAACGACAGAAAGGCCTACCGCAGCATGTTCAAATGGCGTAGACATTACACCTATCACGACCCGCTTGACAGTAATGATACCAACGTGTTCTGTGCATTTTGTGAACTACTCAATAACAACCAGAAACGAAAAGAGAAAAAAGTATACAGAAACATTCTCAAATGGCTTAACGAGAGCAAAGTCTCAAACTCCACGCCCAAAGTGGTTTTGGAAATTGACTCTGTAGATAAAAATTTATATGAAATTGAAAACGGATATGATACTTTGAGACACTTGGAACAAAAGCGCAAAGACTCGGTGAGCGCACAGAATAAGCCACAATGCTCATCAGTTATGTCATGCGCTGGTAATTATATTATGGATATTAAGAACAAAGTTTCAGATTGGTTTAGCATAAAGGCAATGTAAACAAGAATTTCAGCTTGTGATGCGCATACATAATGAATGACATTTTACGTGTAAATAAGTTTGCATCGTAAACGCTCGTGCAGCAATACTAGGTGATATTTTATCACGGAAGAAAAAAAACAATGGAAGTGCCTAAGCCTCGACTACTGTGAGAACCAATGCCGCCAAACTCACACATTCTTAATTTGAAACACGACAAAATCTTGATGTTGATTGGACGTAGTTTCAAATTTAAAAAGAAGTAACAAATTCTGGTTTGTTATAATTTAAACTTTACTCTGTTGGCATATCATTGAAAGTTCAATACCACCAGTACCTATTATTATATGGTACGACGTTTTGATATTATATTGAAATTTCAGCCAATGCGCTGCCATCTAGCGGTTTATTGCTGAACCACGACGAATACGAGTTAATTAGTAACTCTAATTCGTCGTCAGTAGTCGTCGTCAATTGTAGTTCCCCAAAAAAGATACGACTTTATTGCAGGGGTATAAGCGTTACTTTCGTTTTATGTAACAAGTTATTTATGTACAGAAAATTTAAAATACGACTTTCCGATGATATGAGATACCACCACGGGTAATATTTTTGATACGGATATCATTTTTGCACTCCAAAACAGCACAATAAGGCATTTTTGTAGGATTTTAGACAATTTGCACGAAAGAATGACACAACCATACCATACTAAGCGAAAATGGCGGACTGAGCCTGTGCTCGTTTCGCCTATCTGAAAAGGTCTTTCGAGATCTGTAGTTAACTTATTGTTTATTGTTCTGGGTATTTTATCATGTCGCCGTAGGCTTTAATTAATGATGCACGACTTCGAATGTTACTAATACTAATCATTCGAATGAGTAAATCAATCGCCCAAGTCGAAGCCAAGACCAATCATTCGATTCGAGCCGAACGATTACCGATACCGAATGCCCCTGCTATTCGGTCTCACTCATTATTATGTCGGAATTACTCGGAACTTCACTAGATCATTCGCCATGTCCATACCAAAGTATCCGTCCCCGCCACATCATGGTTTACCATACGTCAGAGAAGGTTAGGTAATCACGAGTATCTATAAGGAATGATCATTTGAACGCGAAAATTTGTAAGTTACTAATTTGTCATTCGAATGACAGGATTAGTAATTACTAACGAGTCGAATAACGAAATCATATGCAATCGCCCATCGCTAGTTTTAATAGGAGTTATTACTTCTATGCCCGGCCGGACAAACAAAGCCGGACAGCCCCGTCTCCTCGACCCCAGAAGCTACAATGTTCTTTTTGATTTAATTTATTTCTCTTCGAGTTCTTAGGTTTTCGCGATTATTACATACAGAAAATGAAACTATTTTTCCGAATTTAAATCGCGTATGTTTGTTTTTTCAAACAAACCAGAAACAAACCATCAATAACCGTGACCGTTGGATTTGTAAACATACGCGAATTAAATCCGGAAAAATAGTTTAAAAAGAAGAGGTTTTTTATCGTATCGATGGCATAAATTATAACGTTTACCATTGTGGTGAAAAGATTTGCCAACCAGCGTAGGGTACTCGTCGATTGATGCCCAAGGTGAAATGTCGGGAAAAGGTCGGGAAATTGGGAAAGGAATGGGCAGAAGAGAAGAGAAGCGGCCGTTCTCCCACTACGCTACGAGCGCTCTACGTAATTTGTTTATATTTCTGATCTATACGTCTAAAAGCCAAACAATTAAAAAATATCATGACAGTTAAAAACAAACACTAACACTTGGAAATTAATTTGTTTTTCTTAACACTGATAACGAACAGATTATGAGAACTACCTTTAATATTAACTCAGACAGGTTGGGATGGCATTCCGTCGAAGGTTTTAAAAAAGATTGTGACACTGAATGCTGATAAAATGAAATATATAACTTTCTCTATTCGTAACCCAGCCTTTTTCACTGGTTTAGACTATAATATTTATGCGACTCGCACCAGGGACTGTTGCCTCAAAGTGACTACCTGTCTGCCGACAGCTACGAGCTTTTACGAATTTCTCTACGTGTTTGTTCTGGATTTTTCTATTGGGCATAAACGCCTTTTTTGCAAATAAATAAAGCGTCTTCCCCTTAACTAATATTAAAAGATATTTTGGGGATAGATAATTTAGTTATGTAAGTTACTTTTATTTTAACAAATGATGTTAAATTAAATTTGTTTATTAGTCTTGTATAAAGGGTGGATTGTAATTAGTTGTCGATTTGTTTTGCTTAACAACAATTAAAAAAAACATAATCACTGAATTGTATATATTACCGCACATATTCACACTTTTTTTATTGTAAACTATAATAGAAATACATTGAACACTATTAAGGTTATTGAATATCACGATGTTTTATTATAGTCACATCCAATTTTTTTTTTGTGAAATTTGGTATTCCACTGGTTTCTTATAATTATTAAAAGTCGATACTATCTCAGCTCGAATTTAAATTTTTCCCTTACTAATACGGTTCATTTTGCTCGGGTCGAGCGGCGGAAAATAAAGGCCTTATTTCAGAATTAATTTTTTTACAAATGAAATTAAAGCCATTTGAAGAATATAGTATCTATCGTATACTATACGTGTTCTATTTAGTTCAGTTGACATAACCGCTCACGCGATACATGCAGCCGTAGACGCATACCACACCTAGAGGTGCCGGTGATGATTTTATACCGATTTATCGGATATCGAAGTTATAACAGGTAAGAGAACTAATATTAATTGCTATTTCGGTAACTACTCTAGCAACCATAAAGTTTTTAATGCCTGGGTCTGTCATTTAAAAAAATAAACAACTTCAAAAATACGTCACGACAATCGTGTGAGTGTTGTTGTTTGGGCTGGTGATTTCGGTGTTATTTATTGAAAACATACTGTAAGTAGCGTTTTTTAAGTTTACCCTGAATATAAATGTTATAAAGTATACTTTAAGGAATAATTTCATGGTAAGCGTTAGAACCACTCAAACGGAATATTATCATATTTATCCAAGTACACAAAAAATGTAATTAGTGCTTTTTAAGTGCAGGATTTGCGGTGTATTACTGCATTTTATTTGAGATGTTTTTGTTGGCAGTACGGAGGGTATTTATTTAACAATGCAGAATAATAATTTTTATTTATAAAAACTTGTATTTAAACTGAATCCTTTTCTAATTTGAAACCAAATATCCGCCATTTTGCGGTAGGAGGAGCGCATCGCGTGAGCGGATAAAAAAAAATTAGTATGTGTAAAATACCTATTAAATACAGCGGTTTTGCTTGTAAAATTTCGAGGTAAGTTTTTGTTATGTTTTCTTTCATGAAAATTTTTAGAAATTGTGTTTTCACACCATATAGTTATTAATCAGTGCATGTCCTCAATTTTACTATACGAATATTTTCAAAGTGATTGATTCAACACAATTCAATCAAAACCATTTGAGGTTGTATAGTTTATATCGATCATGTACAGATATAGGTTGTATTGATCTGACTGGATTCGAACCAGCGCCTATGCAAACCGTGTCCGACTCTAAGTCAACAAAAAAGTAGTTAATTACCATAAACAACAAAACTGCAATAAGCACAAATAATAAGGTTCGTTCCGTGGCGCAGTTGGGAGAGTATTAGACACGGTATACAGAAGGCACTGGGCCAGCCGGACCGAAAATTTTTCTAAGTGTTCAATATTTTTATTAATAATTATAACAACAAACACTAGTTATAACCACATTACGGCGCTAGTGTTACACATGGAATCAATACTTGACTTGATACTCTTTATTATATCTTATTCTATGATGTATATAAATAAAGAACTTATATACGAATGTAATGAAAGTAAATATCTATTAATAATTTTAGACGTCAATTATGCCTTCTATCTACTTTCGTCTTTATTAGGTAATAAATTTTCCAATTTGCCACCATCGCAATGTGAAGGTTTCCCTCTAAATTCCTCTTCAATATCTTGAAGCGTCCTATCTTTTGTTTCTGGCAGAGTAAACCACAGTACAGTCAAACAATATAAAACCAATAAAAAGTATACACAAAAAGCTCCGTAAATAGCTAAACTTGTAATTAAGAAAGAAAATGTTTTTAAAGCTAGGAATAAACATATAGAATAGAATACCACACTGATTCCGCCAGCTAAACTTCGATATTGTAAAGGAAATAACTCTCCAGCAAATATGAACGACAAAGGCAAAGAACCAGTGGCAACTGAAAACATTAAGATGTGTATTAACAATACTCCTATAGAAGGATGATCAAAAAATAGCAACTTTTTACTTTTCAAATAAGTATACAATGTTGTAAGAACAAACCCTGTTAGAGTTATACCACCAGTAATAAATAACAAAGTCCTTCTTCTTAATCTTCTTATAATAAAAACAGCACACACATTTGAAATTATACGTTGAATATCTAAAATCATTAACATCAATGCAAAGTCGATATTGCCTACAACATTTTCAAAAATATCAACAGTGTAACTTACTAAAATTGTAGCTCCAGACCACTGACCCAAAGCATAGACATGTAGCATTATGAAGATAGGTTTATAGAATTCTTTCTTTTTAATTGTAACTTTAAAATATACGATGCTTCTTTTGACTTTTCGCCACAAAGAATCGTTAAAATTTTCTTTGAATTGTGCGACATACTTTCTGTCTTCAATCATTTTAAATAACTCATCATCTTCGTTATATCCCCTAAGCCATCGAAATACAATCTTACTATCACCATATCTCCCTTGATCAGCTAACCAAACTGGTGACTCTGGTGAAAATACAACAATACCCAAATCAACTATAGAAATAAAAGCACAAACTAAGGCAGTCGTTTGCCAGGATAGATAAGAACCTAAAGTATGAACCGTGAAAACAGAGATTGAAATAGATAACGATATAGTTGTTAAAAATGCTCCTCTGCTTCTAGGGCTGGTGTATTCCCCTATTAATATTGGTCCTAGTGATCCGCCGATGCCCATGGCTAAGCCTTGTAGAACTCTAGCGAAGATCAGGATGGCAATGCTTTCGGCCATGGCGATGCATACCCAGCCAAGAACCATTGGAACAATGCTGGTGATCATTGCGACCCTTCTGCCGAACTTGCCCATGATGGTTGGAATAATGAAATTTCCTGCGATTACAGAGATGCCGATAGTTGCAGCTGTAACAAAGTATGATTTAGAATTAGATGGAACTATTTCTATCACCTCGACATCGAAGGCCCAACGGTTTATAATGTGGGCGCTGGATGAGGAGGTACCGGGTTTGATTCCCGCTAGGACCAAATTGGGAAATGAACTTTTCTAAATTGGTTCTGGAAGTAGCCCAGAGAGAATTCCGTTGTTCTGGTGCTAATAGTACAGGGAATTCTTGGTTTAAGACCAGGAAATTGGTGTCGTGTCTTGCTCATTGGCACTTTAATTACCCGAAGAAAATGGAGAACGAGAAAACTACAGGAACTTACTGCACTACTTAGCTGCAAACTGGTCTCCTGCATATTTTGCGGGGTCAATTTCCTTTGTCACCTTTCTCCATAATGACACTGATGACACTCCATAGCGCCACACGTCTCCGACAATTGAAATTCGTATAGATTAGTTATTTAGTTTCTATATTATATGTATGTTAGTGGTTAAGTCATATTATATGGGTCATGCGTGCCCGTTGTAAATGCTGGTCTTGTCTAAATATTAGGAATTGACACTGGAAATTAAGAAAATCCTTGAATATGAGGTTGTCATCATCGTACAATTTCCCCAGATAAGAAGTCCATAACGTAAGGTCGAAACCATATACGCGTGATAAGCAGTAAGCATGGTTGACAAATTAGTCATTTACGCAAACATTTCAAGGCAAAGGTAATTTGTTAATTCTTACACAAACATTTTCGATGTGAGAGTTCCAATTTAGTTGTTTATTTAAAAACTTGGTTCCGCTTAGCTCGTCAATATTCAATTCTATATATGTAATTTGTACTAAGTAATATTAATTCATATAATAATAATTAATAGTTATTCAAGTTTGTACAATTTTTTTTTCATGTCAAGGTATGTAATAATTAAATTAATAGTATTATTTATGTCAGTTTCGTGAAATTTAAATGTGTCAGTATTGATTTTACCTTTGATAGCCACTATTCAACTGCCTCAGTGGTCGAACATTTACCATGCCGGACTGCCACGCATTTGTGTATGGCCTAGATTTATTTCTCTCGTGAGTTTGGGTGTCATTAACCTTCAAAAAAAAGGAGGAGGTTATCAATTCGACTGTATGTTTTTTTTGTATGTATATTATGCGATAACTCCGGTATTTGTGAATCGATTTTGATGATTTTTTTTGTTGGAAAGAGGTACCTCCATAGTGGTCTCATTTAATTTTGAAGAAAATCATCCACCTCTAAGTGTGGCTGTTCACGCCTGAAGTTTCATTTTTATAAATAGCGCCTAAATTTTATTATATGGAGCAATTATTTTAATGGTCGATTTTGCTATTCTCTAATTCAAGGCGTTTTTCTCTTTCTCTCACTCTCGCTCAATATACTTTGAGTAGTGAGGACCGATTTTTATTATCTCCTGTGTCAAGTTCCGTATAGTGGCGAACTAGGGGATGAATCCGGGTTTGCGCACTTTTCGGTAACCGATTTCAATAAAACTTGGCAAATAGATGTAATTCCACGTACTTTTGAGGTCGGTTTTTTTTTGGTACATATAGACATATATGTGTGACCACGGTACCCGCAACACTGGGTTTTCCTAGTGCTATGTTGAGTGTGTGCGTTATTATTGTTATTATTGCTATTATAGAAACATTATACATTTATGTTTGGATACATCAACTATATTATTAATACGTATAAAAAACAAAACCTTGGGCCTAACACACTTCCTTGTGGTACTCCATGTCTTTTATTTATTTATTTATGTATTCAATAACAAAAAAGTGTAACATAACAATATCTACCATGGCGTTACAACAATTTAGAAACAACAAGAAAAAACTAAATTAACCAAAATTAAAATTTAAAAGAAAACTTATCGTTATAATTATTAATACAAAGATCGAACACTCAGAAAAATTCCTTCGATCCGGCCGGATTCTAACCGACGTCTTCTAGCTTACTGTGGCAGACGCTATACCAACTAAGCCACGGAACGAACCAGCGGACGTCACGAATTCTTCTATGTGCTTGCGTCGTGTCTTTGTATTTGGTTTGTAGTTTGGTTTTGAAGAGCAAAAGGTACCTACTGGTGAAATTACAGGGACATGAAATTTATCAACTTACGTCTCAGGGTGACGGGCGCAGTGACAGTGCTCCTCAGACCTTTGTGATTTAAAGCCCTGAGTGGCACTGCAACTGTCATGGTCAGGCGCGTCGCTTACCATGAAGCACATTATTAGTTCGTCCTCACTTGGCATTTAAAATAAGTCTAATAGGTTCGAAGATACAGTTGTTTGAACTGTATTATATATGTTTAATTGGTATTATGTATTTAGTTTTCTTAAATTTAGGTATCGATTAAGAAACCATGTCATGTTGCATAGATATAATTGCTCAAACAGGTTTTATCGATCTTGTTTTTCTTGTCCGGTTTTTTTGTAACGATTTATTATAATTTTTTGCAATATTTAATATTTAAATAGATAACGTACTTTGCATTAGTTTAACCTTTACACTGTTTAGAATGTAACAAATCGTACTTGGATTTGTCCATTGAACTAAATACATGCATTAAAGAATTCAATATAAAGCCATGGACAGTGAGCAAGTGAGTCAAGTTATCAATTGACACGTAAAGATACCTTGGAATTTAGAGTACTTAATGCCACTCTTCCTTTGTGATTTGAGGAAACAACACGAAAAATAAACGTTATTAAATATTTACCTCAGAATTTGTATAATCTATTTTTAATAGTTATTTAAAACTATTACGATTACGAACTATTACGAACAGCACGATTGGCTGTGCATGGGGGGTGCTGGTTCCTACACTTATGTATGGTAGTGAATGTTGGGTTTGGCAGAAGAAGCATGAAAGTAGAATTAATGCAGTAGAAATGAGAGCTTTGAGGAGTATGGCTGGAGTGACTCGGATGGATAAATTACGGATCAGTGTGACAAGAGAGCGTTGCGGCGTGGAAGAAGATATAGTGACAAAGATAGAGAAAGGGATGCTTAGATGGTTCGGACATGTAGAGAGAATGAATGAAAGAAGAGTGACGAAACAGATTTATAAGGCGAGTGTGAGCGGGCAAGTTGGTACGGGCCGACCAAGGAGAACGTATCATGACCAAATTGAGGCCATCCTAAAGAAGGGAGTAGCCTTAACCGACGAGCGTGTATGAAAGCATTGATGCGTGTTGATGAGGCGAAGGATGTGTGTCAGGACCGTAGCAAGTGGAAGACTGTTGTCTCTGCCTACCCCGATGGGAAAAAGGCGTGAAGTATATGTATGTATGTATGTATTTAAAACTTTGTTTTTCAATAAGGGTGAGGCCAGACGAATGCAATTTTGAGTCTCGTTTTCTGAATCTCGTAATCTACGTGCGACTGTAATTCGGTTGGTGCTCCAGACGTAAACGTTTGCATAGGGTATTGTAATGGACCAATTAAACATAGTGTTTATTTATGAAGCATTAGAAGATAGTGTTAGAACAAGAAGCTGAGAACATCCACTCAATATGAAAAGATTTTAGTAGCAGTAGGGCTCCATATGAAAGAGCTCGTCCAGGAAGTACTGCAATCGACGGGCCATGAAACGCTAGAGATGTTTTTTTTTATGTTTATGTTCCGCACCGGCGGAAAGTGGAACGCTCCGGGGGTTTAGTGCGGACGGGTTGCTCTCCTTCAGGGTTCCCACATAATTCCAGTTCTGTCCCCGCATCGCTGGGGTATCTGTATACAGATTCTCCCGGGTAAAAAAGCTAAGCAGTAATGTGATTACATTACTATCGTCGTAATTACGAGTGTGAGTCGGCAGACAACTCATTTTGCGTTGTCGTGTGGTACAAACCGGACTTGTACGTGAAACCGATTGCAGCGTAAATTATTCCACTTAAAACAAGCGATTCAGAACTAATGTTGAGTGCTTTTCCGAAAAATATCAAACAGTACAAGTTTTTCCGGATAAATTTCTGAAAAATTGGAAAAATGTAATTCGAGGACTCGTATTATGTTGACATGTTTTTCTTTTGATGTTTTAATTAGCGTGAATTATAAAATTGTGTAGCTAAAAGCCATCGGTGGCTAAAAGCAAGATAAAGTAAAACGAGATTTAAAACGGTGGGGCTACAACGATATCAACTGACACATGTCGACGACATCGCTGCCCCAGCCGAACAAAGCGGTATTTTAAATAAAAAACAAAATAGAAGTCATTATGAAGTATGTACACTGCAACGTTAGAACATCCTTTGCCCAAAGATTCTTCTATTTTATATATTATTTTATATATATATTTCGTTATCGTATTATTATTTAGACACCGAAAATTTTATTGTTTTCTTTTCTCTTTTTTTTTATTCGATTGGTTTTAGTGAGCGCGAAGTTCAAGTATCTGTATCATACCTATTTTACACAATTTATTATTCTCCATGTGTAAATGTTACGCAACAAATAACACAATGACGCAAAGACGTAATCGTACGAAGATAAACATTAATTTGTTAAAACATCAGTAAAATACCGATCTTTTACTTATAATTTATAAGCTTTCGCAAAAGTAATCAACTACGAAACAAACCAACATATTTACATCTGTAATGGTACAGATAATCCTCCCTAAAATCCTTCGTAATCATACTACATGGTACGCTAGGAGACCATGTACCAGGAACCTTATCGCCACCCTTGTATAAATTATTATCACAATATTTTAGTGACACTAAGTTTCACTGTCCATTAAACTCAATAATTATTTACAATATATAAATTTAATATATATGTAATAAACTATGTATCTGGTACACACAACCCATATAACTTCCCTGATATCAGTATGGTCATGATTTACATAGGCTGAACAAGTCTTTATTGTAAAGGGGCGGGAACAGGTATAGGAGCAGAGTACGCAACTTTCAAATGATGCAATTTGTGCTGACATTGTTTTGTATTGGTATTCTGCTTACGGCGTAACTAAGTAAGTTTGCTCGTCTTAAGGAATTTTTGAGGGACTATATTTGAAGAAAATTATGTCTTCTTGACCAGCTTTGACGACAATATCTCATATGTTTTACCAATAAAACCCATTTCACCTCATAATTGTCTTGAGTTCAATTTACCCCGAACGGGGAATGAACCCTTAACAACTTAGGGAATAATTTTTTGATGTCATAATAATCTTCCCGTATCATCTTTCCGTGTCATCCTCTCATGCTACCACCTTAAGAAGACTGTTGGTGCTATCCCTCACACTGACTCACAGGGATGCCAGGGACTTGTGACCGACTGCCTGGAAACCGTTAATCCTACCTCTGAGACGCTACAGTATCGAGGTAACCCCAGTAGCATTTGAGGGCGTTGTTGCATTGGACACGCAAGGCACTGTAGGCTTTTTAGTGTAAATTCTTCACAGGTTTCACGTCTCTAATGACTGGCAATATGTTTTAAAGAGGGTGATAATGACTTCATTTGAGTGTCGAGCAAACCTGCGAGATAGTATATTACACCTCATCGTCAGCGAAATATGGAAAAATATTCGTAAAAATATTTATTTTTCTTTACAGTATGTAATTTTTCAAAATGGAAACTTTTCCATGATCCAATTCTACTCACAACTTACAAGATTACACTCATCTGGCCTCATCCTTAGCTTCCAGTAGTGTCCCACTACTAGCAAAGACGTTTCTCTTGAACTTCCAACTCCTTGGCCATAGCAATTTCCAGCCAGTCACTCAAGGTAGCATCTAGATCATCCCGTCAGCCTTGTCCTGCTGCGACGGCCATCATGTGGCACTCATTGAAAGATAATACGTGCCGTGATAATGTAAAATTTTAGTGTACAGAAATGGATGGGTGAATGACACAAACTACGCGAAGCCTATACCCAACAGTGGGTCGTATTGGGCTGCGGGTGATGATAATGAAAGTATAAAAAATAGCACGAAGCTTTTACTACAAATTTAAAATAAACTCAATGCCACTTATGATAAGAAAACGGTTCACATTATTACTTATTTAAGACGGTCTCCGGTTTTGATTATTTATAATCTCAGTATAGAGTACTAAAAAAACCGACCTCAAAAGTACGTGGAATTACGTCTATTTGCTAAGTTTCATTGAAATATCCCCTAGTTCGCCACTATACAGGACTTGATACTGGAGATAATAAAAATAGGTTCTCACTACGACACTACTCAAAGTATATCGAGGGAAAAACGCCATGAATTGGAGAAATAGCAAAATCAACTAAATAATTGCTAAAAGTAATTGCTCCTAAATTATAGTCAGGCGCTATTTATAAAAATGAATCTTCATGCGTGAACAGCCACCCTTTGAGGTGGTTGATTTTCTTCAAAATAAAATGGGACCACTATGGAATTACCCCCTTTCCAACAAAAAAAGAATCGTGAAAATCGGTTCACAAATACCGGAGTTATCGCGTAATATACATACAAAAAAAGAAAAAAAAAAAAAAAACATACAGTCGAATTGAGAACCTCCTCCTTTTTTGAAGTCGGTTAATTAAAGTTTTTAAAAGATCATTTAGTTTGCTATTATTGCATGCCCCTCCAGAACAACGTGATAAAGGAGTTTTTTATAATACCAAGTGACCGGACGAACAAGTCGTGCGCCTGGTGATAGGCAACATGCCTGGCCATAACAGTTGCAGTGCCACTCAGAGCTTTAAATCGCAAAGATCTGAGGGGCTCGTCACCCGGAGGCATAAGTTGACAAGTTTCACGTGCCTGTAGTTACACCCTTCAAAACCGAAACGCAGTAAATCTCACATTATTGCTTGCGGCAGAAATAAGTAAAGTGGCAGTACTTCTCTGGGTGATGTATTTCACAAGGAGGTCTACTGCTACTGCTAAGTTCATAAACATTGTCTTACCAATCCACGATCCCGAGGAATCGTCAATCTTTATTTGGGAATCCGGTTTTCTTAGTTGCGGGAGCAGCACTGCCGCGTAGCTGACTGCGAACCCATGGCTGCCCATATTCAGGGACACGCCTGCCGTCACAAAGCACTGGAAATCATTGGTTTGGATCTTTAAAAATATGCTATATATACCTTTTGTGTATTTGCCGTGTTGGTATAATGATATGGTGTGCAATAAATTGTTAGTAAGTAATGACTTTTTGTATCACGATCCACATCTCAACCCCGAGAGGTCGTCCAAGGAATGGTTTTGAAATCTGTTTCACCTGAGATTTCAAGCTTATGTAGTTTCATAAAACTATATTAAATCTTTATAAAAATAAAAATTTATTTATACCTAAATTAAAACATCCCAGAGTATCTCGATTTGTTGTCACGAGATAATATGCGAGAATTGTATAAATTAACATACCTGTCTCAGAAAAGGTGTTGTCCATTTTTTATCACTCATTGTGTTTACAAAATGTTATATGCAAAAAATATAAAAATAAATTCTGTAATTTATTTTTACGCTGTCGTAATGCGTGCGCGCATGTCACATTTTGATAATGCACTGGTCTCAACGGTTGCGACCGTATCCATTCCAAGATTATCATTTTAGGAATCCGTTAGCATAAGCTAAAGTGTGTTACGGAGTACAATCAGTTTAAAATGTTTTTTTTATTAAGCTGTGCGCCGGTGTTTTGGTATTTTATAATAACTGTTGCTATCTCTGTCGGTCGTGACGCGACCGCGGTTGTGTGAGCGAGACAACGGTCGTTCCAAATTATATCTACAGTTAATCAGTTGCATTATGTTATAATAAACATATTTACAAGGTATAAAAAATAAAGGAAATCTATTTCTTACACTAAATATTGGAGTTGCAACGAACCCAACGCAACGGACCATTCAACCTTTTTTCCTATTCGTCCGAATATCGAATATCGAATCACTATTCGAAATATTATAATACCTAAAAAAGGAGGAAGCCATATAAGGAAAATCACAAAAAATTACTATGTAATTTTTATTAATGCTAAAAATGATTATATAGTATATTACATAATAATAATAATAATTCTATTTGCGGACGATACAACCGTTATAGTGTGTGCTAAAACCTACAACGAGTTGGAAGAAAAATTAGCCTACACGTATGAGCAGCTGTGTGAGTGGTTCTCTGCGAATGGACTTATTCTTAACGAATCGAAGTCAAACCTTATGTTGTTCTCAGGAAGAAATTCTATAACAAAGCCAATTATCACCTCCATTGTTCCATTATGTAACACCTGTAAATTCTTGGGTTTAACGCTAGACTCAAATTTGAACTGGAAGTCACATATAGGTACAAACTCTATGTCAAAAACTTGGAAGTGCTGCATACGCACTGAGGAAACTGCGTCCTCTTGTCTCCAATGTGGTATTGAGGCAGACGTATTATGCATATTTTCATTCGTTGATGTCTTATGGCATCACACTGTGGGGTAATTCAACTGAGTCGATTAGGGTATTTATTCTTCTTCTAATTTTTAAGAAATACAATATAATGACCATGTACTCACAATATATTTATGATATAATAGTTTATGCGCGTCAAAACTTGGCTACTTATGAGCGACGTACGGGCGGAGGCCGAGCGTTACGAAACGCGGGAACACTAAAATCCGTTGCCCACCGTACCGAACTTGCAACTAGAAATCCGCGGGTAATAGGTCCCCGATTCTACGAACATCTACCCACAGACCTGAAAAGTGTTAGAAACGATGAAACGTTTTGTACCCGACTAAAAAACCTTTTATTGGATATTGAATTGTACAGTGTCGATGAGTTTCTTTTGAAACAATTTTAATTTTATTTTATTCGACAAGCAGTAGTTATACTACTTTATTTTATATTCATTATTATTATTATAATTTTATTACTGACGATCATAGTTATCCCTTGACATTGTATTTCCAATTGTAATATTGTGACATTGACAACATGAAATAAACGATTCTATTCTATTCTATTCTATTCTAATAATAATAATAATAAATAAACTATCAAAATTGCAACATTGGCGAAATTAGATATAATATTTCTGACTTTTTCGCGCAATGTTTAATCGGTTAGAAAGCGCAAATTGACGTGCGACTTTAAATACATTGTGAAAAGTGATGTAAGACCTGTCATAAAAGTAATGCGTTTCCAAAATTTTAATTTTTTATGTATAAAATATAAAGTTAATAAAAATTTAGTTATCGATTTTCGGTTCAAAATATTTATAGAAAGCTTAAATATACAAAATGACTCACAAAACAAACCATTTCCAAGGAGTTCTAGTCTTCTTCAAGCTAATATCAATTTAGATTTACTTTTTAAAAAGAAAAGTAATTTTTCTAGGCTACTTCATAGTCATTCTTTAAAAATAAAAATGGCGATAAGAATTTAAAGCTTTTTTCAAAACACTGTTAGGAGCATTTTGTCTATAGCTTTATCTATAGAAAAGCTTTAGAATACGAAAAGATTATTTTCACTTGCTTTATGTAATTGATCTTGTAAAAGAATATTCACTCCTATGAAGCTTTTATGATTGTCTACAAAACGCGATGTTTCTTAGCGATTTTTTCTTTTGACAGCATTACAAAACCTTTATAAAAGTTATAGGGAATAGTGAGCGTATTATGCAATAAAAAACTTTTCAAAACATTAGGTCAAAAAAACAATTTAAAAAATCCATTTTGTCGCAAAAAAACTTTATTCTGTATAATTATATGGAATGTGTAATATATGACTAGAAAAGTGGATAAATTCCCAAGCATATAAATATAAGGACTAATGTTGGAAGAAATAAAATTTTCATTACAAAATTGAGGTTATTTCTTCACGCCAACCACATTTCACACAATGATTTCACTGTTTTTTATTGATAGACGTCACAATACACATACACAACATTGAAGTACAGGAGTTTACGCGCTCATTTAAATTGTTTTTATCATTTCAGAACACGGAATTACTTCACAATGTTTATTTATATGTCAACAATCAAAAACCAGCTCCCACGCGAATTACGACTATTGTATCCAGCGTTGCCAATTTGTGGGGAATTTCAACTAGATTGGGGATTTTGTGGGGATTAGCGGTATGTAAGGAAAATACGGGGTTTCTAACATTTTATCATTTTGATTAATCTATCAATTGCTGATGCAACGCTAGTTTGATCGTTACTGTTAGAAACACTAATGGACCTTTTTCAACATCGCACATCACTCGTCAACTTTAAATATTAAATATAGGTCGAAACTCACTGATTATTTCTAACATTATAATAGTGTCACCAAATGCACAACAAATAATCAATTTACTTAATTTTGTAAGGCAAAGAAAAATGATTTTTTTTTCAAAGACTGATTACAGATTAATGTTGAATCTAATTAAAATAAATAAACGATTTAAGGTCATCTACTTTTATAATTCGTTTTGCATTTTACATTCTGTTTACATTCACAGCAAACCTAATAGATTATTACATTTTGAGTTTCTTAATTCTTTATTATATTTTTAAGCGATGTATTTCTAATGAATAATGAAAACTCCAGATGTGGGGAATTTGTGGGGAATATGAACTTTGCTCTCCCCAAATTTGAGGATTTTAACCGTGATTTTTGGGGATTTTGAACAATTGGCATTGGCAACGCTGATTGTATCGAATGATAACTATTAATATTAACTAATGAAACTTAATATCCAAGGTTCACCACCTTCACCAGATCTTTTAATATTTTTTTCATTATCCATTTTGTATGAACTCTTACAACGTCCAATAGAGTAAAAACCCGAATGGTAGTATTTTTTTAAATAAAATCTACTGAAGACACGCTATAACGTGTTTTATCATAAGTACAAACACTACAGAATGTCTATAAATTAAATATATCTAGAATAAACTTAAGAATACTAGTTTTAGAGTATTATTAGACTTTACTGGATGTGTACAGAACAGTTTTACTAAAAATAATCAGTTGTTCTACAGATGAACTTAGCATAAGGACTATAAGAGTAAATCTTAAGAGAGATTAAACTTAATTAAGTTGTTTGGTATTAAGAAGGTTTTAAAATGTTGACTTGAGTGAAATAAGTCTATAAGAACAATTTCTTTTTTCTAAAACCATTTATAGAGAACTATTATCTAAATCAGTACCATATTAAGACTGTTTATAGATATAACAGTTTTAAGGCGTATATAGTGTGCTCCTTGGGATTACCTACATTCATGTAAGTCTGGTTCACCGTGGACGAAACGACATTTGGTATACTTGGTATTTATCGTATCGAGTAGTCACCATTCCAAGGAAAATTTTAACAAAGCTATTCAGTATTTGCATAAAATGGACCGATGCCATCTAGCGGATTGTGTGGAAGTACAGAATACTCATAGTTGGTTGTGGCAGTCTATTGTTTATAATAGATTGTTTATAGTAAATACAATATTAAATAAATAAAAAACACTGCCATGAAATGGTTATACAAGCGTGGGATGTCATGTAGCGAAAAGGGTCGTAGACATCGTCAAAAGTTGCGGGCAGTAGATTGGTGAGACTAGCACAGGGTCGTGGTGGATAGCACAAACTACAGCAGGCTTATATACAACAGTGGGTGAAGTCGGGCTGTTGATAATGATTTTTTTTATGATACCAAGTGGTACGACGAACAAGTCGTGCGCCTGGTGTGAATGACACGTCTGTTCATAGCAGCTGCAGTGCCATTCAGAGCTTTAAATATCAAAGATACTGTGATTTCACCTACACCCTGGGCGAACACTTTCACAAGGAGCTTTACTATTGCTACTGAGGATGATGATGATGATGAAAAAATACTGTCAATAAGTTCAACGAATGAAATTGTTTTGAAAGAGGATGCAGTGATAAAAATAGAGAAAGACATAGTGAGATGGTTCAGGCGAAAGCCAATATCTGAAGAGACGAAGTACGTTCTCAGATGAAATCTAAAATGTTCTTGAAAAGTTTCGAAGCGCAGACTTGGACTTTAATAAAGCAGTAAAAGAAGTGCTGCCAATTTGCACAACGAACATTTTGAACCCAATGATTACTCAAAAGTAGCAGATGTATCAATGTAACAGTAAGTATCTGTTACTAAAAAACGAAACTGGAGGTAAATTAGATAGTGTTTATTTAGGTCCATTTTTAATCTTGCAAGATTTAGGTAGTAATGTAAAGATAATGAGAAACGGAAAAGAAGATATCGTGCATAAAAACCGCACCAAACCATATAATATGTTATATGTAATACCTTAATTTAATTGAAATCAATTTTATAGTATTTTTAATAAATGTGAATTTAATAATTGTAACCATATACTCGTAAGCCAATGTTACTCGTAAGTCGTAAGTCATTGTGTAATAATGAGCCAATTCCTATATTTTACTATGTACAATCTTATGATAACTATGTAATTTAAAATAG